TTATATTGAGGTTTTTTTTGTAATTAATTTTATTTTCTTGTATCTATTTTTCTACATTGGATTGGATTTATTTGAAGTTGAATTATTTTTTATTTTTTATTAGCTTATTTAAGTTTCATGGTTAGATTTATATATTTTCTCTTTTTTTTTCTATTTAATTTACTGAAATTTTATTTTTATTATCTTTTTCATTTCAGTAATTACATTTTTTTTTTAAGATTTTCATGATTTGTTTTTGTTTGAAATGGTCTATTTACTTTCAAGATCTGCTTTTTTATTATCTAATTAAATTATAATATATTTTTTTTGCTTAATTGGGCTACACCTCAAATTATGTTTTTTTTAAATTTCATGAAATATATTTGCATCACTCGAGCATTTGTTTTCAACAAATAAAAAACATTACAGCTCATGGACCTACAAATCCAATCTACTAATTATGTATTTTTGTAATGTTGTGTCATGATTTCACAAGTTGTGTTTGAGTTTGAAAAACTATTAAATTTGATTGATTTCTTTTTATGATTTCAATCTCAACATATTTTAATTTTTAAATGTAATATAAATATATTATTAATCAAATAAATTTCTTATAAATATACCTCAAAATTTAATAGTTCTATACTCTTCGTGTAAGTGGCAAATGAAACCAAGATTGTCATAACCTTTCAATAAAAATAAGGAATTTGATATATTTATTATTATTGATTCAGGATTTATAAATATAGTTGTATTTGTTTAAGAGGTTATGTCTGTATTTTATTTAAAACACAAATGCAATCTATTTAATAAGTAAAAAAAACATAATTTATTATTTATAGATCCCAAGTATTTTTGCATCCAAATACACAGGAAAAGAAAAGCAAGTAATTGCTACTTCTTGCGTACTGTTCATATTAATTGTACTGTTCACTGTTTATGCTAATTGCACTGTTTAGTAAAGAGTGCAATTAACATAAACAGTGTAGCTAGCTCTACTATTCCGATCAGACTAGTTCCGGTCAGAATGAATCCAGTCTAAAGCTCAACATGCATTGAACCAGGTTTGACCCAATAAAATAAAAAATAAAAAATATTTTTATTTTTAATCATGTTTTATTTTAAAAAATAGTGTTTAATATTATTTAATGATACTATATAAATTAGACAGGGATCGCATGATCATATTGCATTTGTAGAATTTGATTGCAATTTTAATTTTTTTTTCTGATTATATTTTACTTGATGTTGCTGCGCACTTAAGAAACCAAAAAAACTGTAGTCCTTATCAGATATGTTTTATACGTGATGGAATTGTAGATAGTTTAATGGAACAATGAAAAATATTTTATATAAGGTATTATTTATTTCATGATGCAATAATAATAGTTAAATCTATAATATTTAAATTAAAACCATCAATGTTAATATACATTTTTTTAAATTATTTTATAACCTCAATTTTAAAAGTATTATTAATTAAACACATTAAACTACTTTTTGTTCAACCTCAATTTCAACCAGAGTTTTAACTAAACATACATAAATACTAAATCAACCTCAACCAAAAGCACTTTTCATAAAATAATTTTTTTCTAACCACAGCCACAACAACTACTATAATATCAAACACACATAACTAATAGCTTGCAATAAAAATAAAGAGACCATTTTTTTTTATAGTGATGGAAGCTGTAAAACATTAGTCTCTTAATCGAGATAAGTATCACAGAAACTTAGAATTTCATACAAAACTCTTTGAATTCACAATAAGCTTACAATCAAATCAAAGAAAATTATTAATTGTTTGCACACAATAAAGAGAATCTTTTAGCATAAGTAAACTTTAGTACAAATAAAAATAAAATTGATTGCCATCAAACTTATAAGATGATTTCTATCTGGTTGAAGCAATCAGAGAGGATGTGAAATAGACAAGGTAAATAAAGGATTAATAATTAAGAGAATATAAAAGATTACATCCTTTCTTTCATATACACCTAAACTTTTTACCAATAATTCCACATGTTAAGGTAAAGAGACAGTTCTGTTGATGAGTACATTGATGATTTCTATTAGTTAATGGCAATGAGACATATAAAGACATATTACATGATCAACCTATTAGATAGCAGATGTGAGAACCCTAGAGGATCACTAGAAAAATAATGACCATCAATCTATAAACAGTTATAAAAAATTATTTTTAAAATGAGGTGTATAAAAGATATAATTTCTTATTTGAGACAAGTATTCACATGAACTTTGCAAGGAGAAATTTATTCAATGATTACAAGATGTAGAGAAGATTCTTAGTATTAGAAAGTCCCAATATAAATAAAGGTAAAGTCAATCATCATCAGACTTACAAAAGCAAACTTATGTATAGTAAGACCAGTTGAACAGGGTGTGAGATAGGATGAAAAATCGAGACCTAGGTAAATCACTATAACAATTCATAGTATTATGTTTTTTTTTTCTCAAACTTTGTTTTTCAATTGTAGCCTTTTATATTCAAACTAATGGCTAAATTCTAACATTTTATTAACGAAATAAACAATTTAACAAAAGAGGATTAAAATGTAAAACAAGAAGAAATCATATAGCAAACCATAAAATTGGTTATAAAGTATGCCTTTTGGTCCACCTGTTTTTCTTCTACAATCCCTATAATTTTTGCAATTTTAGTTTTAGTTCAAAGTTTATTTTGTTTATTTTTCAATTTTTGAATTTGAGAGATGCGAGAGAAGATTATTGAATTATAAAAATAAAAAAAGAAAATCGTTGTTTCTATATAATTCAATGATAAAATGGTTTCATTCAACAAGAGAAGTTTGATAATAGTGATTATTTTCTACAAATCTATCTAAATGCATAGATTAGGTTCCATTTAGATTTTTTATATATAATTGACTTTTTTTTAGTGATTTTAAAGTGTTGTGGAATTTATATGTGGTTTATGAAGGTTTTTATAATGTTTATTAGATGTGCTTGGGTAAAAATGGATTGAAAATGAGGTTTTAGATCAACCCCCTCCCTCTTCTGGTGCCAGATTATCAACTAGGTTTTTATTGATTTTTTTTAATTGTTGTTTCTTTTTATTTATTTTTTAATATTTGGTTAATTTTAAATGAATCTTTATAATTTATTTCGGTTTGCTTTTCATGATGTTATTATGATTTTAAACAAATATCACAATAGTAAGTAGATACTCAATTCTATGAGCTTTTATTTTTATTGTCACATAATTAAATAAAAAATAAGTAAAATTATAAAGTTATTAAACACAGTTGAATTCATTATTTGGATTACGAGTTTAACATGAAATCACAAAATTAAGTTGAATTATATTATCTTCTCAATATTTAAAAAAATATCAACTTGATATTTTTTTTAAAATCCAACAATATTTTTACTAATTACTCAGGTAACTTTAAAACATATTAAATGAGTTGAGTCATCTCAAAATAGTTTTTATATAATTTAATTTAAAATTTAAATTAAACAAGAAGTTTTATTAAAAAATTATAAAAATTGATATTTTTAAACGAGTAATATGAAGGCACATGCTCTTGTTTTTTTTTTTATATAAAAAAAAAGCCTGAGCAACCACAGTCAGCGCCGCGTGCTTGGAGAACAACTGAATGGCCTTTTGGTTTTGTTTTCAAGATTCAAGAATAAAGGTGCACCTTGAAGACAGAGAGAGAGAGAGAGAGCAACGGTCCGGTGCCATGGAGAGCCAAAAATGCTATGACTAATGTTATCGTCTACATGGCACCTGTCAAAAGAAAAAGGGCATAAATTAGAGGAGTGGCAAGAAAGTGTAGTGAGACTTCCTAACTCATCGATTTTGCTTGTCCGATCACCCTTCATGTCTATCATTATTATTATTATTATTATACAACCAAACTTGGCAGGACCAAAAGTGGAATTTGGTGCCCACCAACATGAATCAAAGGGAAGTCCATATATATATATATATATATATATATAAAATACCGTAGTAGGTAAGGCACTTTCCAGCCATTTCTTTTGGAAATTGCTTGTTTGTATCTCCGGTTACGTGGACAATTTTTTTTTAATTTTTTTTAAAAATATAGTAGTTTTGAATTTTATTTTATATTTTTTTATTAATATATTTTATATTTATTGATAATTTTTTTAATTTGGATATTTTTTTATTAAAAAAATATTTTATAATTATTAAAGATAAACTTGTCCATTATGAAGCAGATAAACTTCTCAAGCTGTTAAGAACAAAATGAAAGTCCTTTATGAAGCAGATAAACTTCTGCGTCTTTTCCATTAATTTGTTGATGATAAAATTGACAGCCCTAAAAGCCAAACTCCTGTGCCCAAGAGGGGGGTTGGTGGGGTTGGTGGGAAATTGCCAGAAAACCTAGCCAAGAATCAGGGAATGCACCTACTAATTTAGTGTTTTGCCTTCGTAGTCATCATTGATTTGTCAACTCTCACACTCCATCGATTTCTGGGTGAATAGAATGTGGTCATACTCTGCTGATTAAAGAAATGAAGGCCACCAAGATCATAGCAGTGGAGTGGGGAGAAAGGATGCATCCTGTCAGTATCAGGAGAGGTGGTAAATGACCAAAGGATCCTCAACAACCCCCTAATCCACCAACTCTCGCGTAATTTTCCAAACCCTAACAACGACACGGTGTGCACATCATGCAGCATTCGTTTAGAAGAGGCATTATGAATGTATTTTTGGTCATGGTTATTATTTTTTATTTAAATACAAGTAGATAACAATGCCAAGATATATCACGTTACAACCATCTAGGTGGTGACCAAGTGGTAAAGACTTGGGACTAAGATGTTTGCTCCCTCTATAGTCTCAGGTTCGAGTCCTTGGTTGCTCATATGATGGCTACTAGAGACTTACATGGTCGTTAACTTCAGGGCCCGTAGGATTAGTCGTGGTGCGTGCAAACTGACCCGAACACCCACATTAATCTAAAAAAAAAAAATAGATGCCCTTACCTTGTCCATTACTCAATTTCCAGGAAAGAAAGTTTGCAAAGATTTCAACACAAAGTTGAGGTTGTTAGGTCCATTCGTTTATATAATCCAGTATGATGTGGATTGGATTTTATCTTAATTATAGATTTAAGAATATTTAGTTAATTAAAGCACACTGTAATTTTATATTGTTCTCTCTTTCAAAATGTTAATTAAAAAAACTATAATTTATACTCTTTATTAAATTTATATTTTCAAATCGTATTCATGAAAACTATTATATTGTGTTTATTTTTTCACATGATTAATAACTAAATTGATTGTGGAAACAAATTGACCCTTAGATTTGTTTGGGAACATGGTGCAAACCGCATCCCTCAATTTTTTATTTTTTTGTGTAAAATAATTCTTTTATGTTTTTAGATTATTTTAATCTATTAATATAAAAGATAATTTTTTAAAAATAAAAATATTATTTTGATATATTATAAGCAAAAAACACTTTAAACTATTATCATAATTACTATCTAAATACATCCTAATTTCAAAGAGTTATGTCATGACTAAATTTCTAAACGTAGGCCTTCTTTTCTTTTACTTTTTTATTTTTTGGAGTGGGGAATTTAAGCTTCACCCCTTTGTTATTTATCAGACTGTAGAAGATGATATCCAAAGCAGTTTTGAGTTTTTTTTTTTTGGCAACAATGGAGATTTCTTTGAATCTCTTAACAAAGGCATGTTGATTTTGGCTGTTAAGTTGAGTGATTTCTCCACAAAGTTTTTGTCGTAAGGATTTCTCTTCTCTATCCTCCTATTTTTAACTATGTTTGATTTAAAAAAAGAAAAGAAAAGAGAAGAAGCTCCTAATATTAATTAGCATTAATGCAAAGCCTAGCATTGATTGCAATATTGGGAATTTTAATTTCCATAGTTTGTCCATTCACAAGTCATGTAATTGTTTTATATATTAATTTTTTTTTAAAATAATCTGAGTATACAAGAAAATTAATTTGAAATTTAAATTATTAAAAAATATTTTTAAAATATAAAAATAAATAGATTCTAATATCAACTAGATCACTATGTGTGCTATCCATGAGTTGACACTTGTATTTTACCTAATGGCTAAATGTTATGGTGCTGCATTTGAGTTGAAATTAAAAAAAAAAAAAACCTCAACTTAGAATGCATTTGGTATAATCTATGGAAAACATTTTTTTATTTTATTTTAAATCATAATATAAAAATATAAAAATAAGTAAAAGTTACTTCAAACAAGAATAAATATAATATAACTTGGTATTAAAACGTTGAAAGTTAAAAATCTTAAATTTTGATTAAATCAAGATTTTTATCTGTAATAATTTTTTTTTATTTAAGTGAAAAATTCTTTTAAGAGTTAAAATTTAAAGAATAATTTAAATCAATTTAAATAAAAAATATTTTAAAAATAATAATTATAATAATCTCAAACGTAGCAAAAGATGTGTTGGATTTGACGAAAGAAGAAAGGCAAGATCACAGGGCTTTGCTTGGAACTTTAAACGAAAAGGAAGTAAGCAGTCTTTTCCGATTCATGGAGGCGTTATTAATTTAAAATAAATTTGAAATTTTAATACATCACTGTGACGAAGCACAAGTAACACATTACGGCCTGGATCCTCAACGTGTCGGCTCTGTATTTTGTCCCTACTAGCTTGGAAGTCAGAAGTTAGATCTATAATTGTTGGCGAAAAAAATAATAATCGAGACACTGGCATACATCGACAGACATGAGATCATTAAAATAAATTATGACCTTATATTTAAATTAATTAAATATTAAAAGCTTAAAAGAAAAAGCATTCAATAAAAAAATAACTCCAGCAAAATTAAAATAGGACCTTATATTATAACACGACTTAAACCATTAAAATAAAAAGAAAAAATTCAAATTTTAAATAGTTGATCTTATTAGATTTATTAAACCGAATTAATTTAATAGTATAATTAAAAAAATAATAATAAATGATAAATAAATAAAATCTAAAATAACCCATATTATTTTCAAAATGAGTGAAATTATATATAAAAAAAGTCTAATCTTTAAAGAAATCAAATATTAATGAATAAAACTGAAAACATATAATTTTTTTTTAAAAAAAACAAATGACTTCATATGTTATATTACATTACATTGAGGATTAAATATTTTTTTTCTAAACTTAAAAAATATTAAAATAAATGGAGGTGCGACATACTAGATAACATATTTTTAAAAATATATATTGAGCTAATACTTTAATTTAATTAAAAAAATTCTTCCTGTAAGAAGGGAAAAATTTATTATATAGCATGATGTCCAATTAAATCAATTGCTAAATAATTAAATTAGAAAATATGAGGTTTTTTTTTAAAGAAAAACAACAATAACAACAAATGAACCCAAATAATTCTCCTAAATCTAAATTACTTTTTTAATTCTAATATGAAAATCAACAATAACAACAAATGAACCCAAATAATTCTCCTAATTCTAATCTAAGCAAAGCCTATGACTTTTTTAATTCTAAAAGTAATAAAGTAGTTACTTAAAGGGTTGATGTGAAATGTTACAAGGGTGGTATGAAAACCAAGAAAAAAAAGAAAAGAAAAGCTAGCCACCACGAAACTTTCAAGAATTAAGTCACATGTACCACATGGAGAGGTAACCCTTGACATTGTGAATAAAAAAACAATAAGGAAGCTGATTTTCACTTGCCGAGAACCACAACATACACTGCTTGAAAATGATGGAGTGGCGCACTCATTGGTGATTTCCATGAATGCACCAATAACTTTTATTATTAATATTTGTTTATTAATTAAATTACCAAATCACCCTTAGAACCACTTGTTAATTACAGAAAAAAAATCAATATAAAAATACTAAACTACCGCTAAAGCAAAGCCTATGACTTTTACTTCCAAAAGCAATAAAGTAATTACTTGAAGGGTTGATATGAAATGTTGCTAGGGTAGTATGAAAATTAAGGAAGAAAGTAAAAAAAAGAAAAAAAAGCCAATATCCGTCAAACCTAAAGCAAAGCTTATGATTTTTTTTTTTAATTTCAAGAGCAATAAAGCAGTTACTTGAAGGGTTGATATGAAATGTTGTAAGGGCAATATGAAAACCGAGAAAGAAAGGAAGTTGAAAATAACATAATAGCTTAGGTTGGCCTTAGCCAACCTTTTCTATTTATATATATAGGGCAGATCACGACAGTAATTATAGGGATTATAATATTGGAATAATCCTACATTAATTTTCTATTCAGAGATATACATGTTATACATTTTATAATATGCTTCCTCAAGCTGAGGGTAGAGGATCGACCCGAAACTTAAACCTGAAAGCAGTAAAAAATGCAGTGGAAAGTGGTTTGGTGAAAACATCAGCAAGTTGATCCTGAGAAGGGATAAAGCGAATATGAATTTCCTTCTTCACAACCTGGTCGCGGACAAAATGATAATGTACCTCAACATGCTTAGTAAGAGCATGAAAGATAGGATTCGCCGAGAGATAGGTCGCACCAAGATTATCACACTAAATGGTAGGAGCAGAGACGGAGGGAACCTGTAGATCTGTTAACAAATATTGAAGCCAGATGACCTCAGTAGTTCCATCTGCTAAGGCTTTATACTCAGTCTCAGTGGAGGAGCGAGCAACTGTACGTTGCTTACCAAATTTCTATGAAATTGGTGTCTGATTAAGAAAATAAGATAACCACCCGTAAACTTACGATCATCAATACTAGCAGCCCAATTTACATCTGTAAAACCATGAAGAGCAAAAAAAGTACCTCGAGTGATATGAAAGCCATAGGATACCGTTCCTTTAAGGTAGCGGAGTATGCATTTAATAGCAGCCCAATGAGAATCTATAGGAGCATGTATGTACTGACATATTTTGTTAACAGCAAAGCAGATATCTGGACAAATGAATGTAAGATACTGAAGAGCACCCATGATTTGATGAAATCATGTGGGATCAGAGAATGGATGATCCGGTTGTATAGTGAGTTTGGAAGAATAGACTAGAGTATCAACAGGTTTGCAAGAAGTCATACCAGCCCGAATGAGGATATTAAGAATATATTTATGTTGGCGCAACATCAGACCCATACCTATGGACTGAACCTTAATACCCAAAAAGTAGTGAACATCACCTAAGTCACGAAGGTTGAATTCTGAGCTTAGTAACTAGATTAGGTGATGAAGCATGGTAGAGTTGTTACCCGTAAGTAGAATATCATCAACATAGATTAGGAGATAAAATATATTAGCACCATCAAATAAAATAAACAGGGAGGTGTCAACCTTGGAGGTAAGGAAACTAAGGGAGAGTAAAAAATCACTCAAACAGGTATACTATGCCCTTGGTGCCTGTTTTAAACCATATAATGACTTGTGCAAGCTGTACACTTGAGATGAAAGAGTAGGGTCGAAAAAACCTGGAGGTTATTTTATATAGACCTCTTTAGTAAAAACACCATTAAGAAAGACATTGTAAATATCAAGAAAATCTTCCAATTACGGGAAATCATAATGGAAAAGACTAATTTGACGGTGGCCTGTTTAATGACTGGGTTGAAAGTGTTAGAATAATTAATGCCTTCTTGTTGAGTAAAACCTCTAGCAACTAGACGAGCTTTATAATGTTCAATGCTACCATCAACACGAGGTTTGATTCGATATACCCATCGGCTGCTCACAACATTCATCGAAGGATGAAAGGGCACTAGGGACCAAGTGTGATTGGAACGCAAAGCCTTGATCTCATTTTACATAGCATCATGCCAAACAACATATTTATCTGCATTAGAGAAGGCAATAGGTTCAGAGGAATGAGAGAACAATACTTGAGTGGCAGCTGTATCAATTGTAGTAGAGGCCACCATATTTGCGGTTTTGGGTTGCGGTGGTCTAAGGACCATAGAGTGGTAGTTGAGTAATGGTGGCGACGCAGAAAAGTTAGGTGTCCTGCTGTAGTGGATAAGCACAAAGATCAACTACTAGATTTAGACTAGGGGAAGAAGCTGGGGAAAAAGCTGCTACAAATAGAGGGCAATATCAACAGGGCTAGCAGTAGAGACAGAGTCTGTAGAAACTAGGTGACTGACAGAATAAGGGGAAGTAGAGGAGGAACCAAAGGATGTCCCAATACTAGTAGAGACATCGTGCTGGAGTGTAGGAAAAACTAATCCACAACCTGTAGCTACAACAAAATAGTGAGAGAAAGATGCATGTGGTGATCGGTAAGGGAAATGTGGAGGCTGTAGTGTTTGGGTAAGATGTGAAGGCTATGGTGTTTAGGCAGAGACGATACGGGGTGTGATATGATCGGTGAACAATAAGAAGGTGGTCAGATTTAGGAGGATGGTAGCAGGGGATGATGTGTGGTTTTGAGCTGAGACCTGTGCAATCTGATCATATTTATCAAATGGAAAAATATGTTCATGAAAACGGACATGATAGGAGATATGCGATGAGATTCAATGTCAAAATATCGATAACCAAAATGAGAAGAATTGTAGCCACAACACACACACAGAGAAGACTGAAAATCCAATTTATGATTATTATAAGGACGTAAAAAAGAAAAACAAAGATATCCAAAAGTATGCAAAAACTGATAATTAGGAGACTGCTGAAACAAAGAATCAAATAGAGATCGATTTGTAAGGACAAGAGTAGGCATGCAATTAATGAGATAAATTGAAGTGTGAAAAGCATAATTTCAAAAGCAGAAAGGAGCTGTACATTGGCTTAGAAGAGTAAGGTCGGTTTCCACAATATGCCTATAACCTCTTTCTACTGTTCCATTTTATTTATGAGTGTGAGGACATATCAGACGGTGATAAATACCAATGGTCTGAAAGAAAGTGGAGAGTTTGCGATATTCACCACCCCAATTAGTTTGAACAGATTTTATTTTTAAGGAAAACTGACATTCGACAAGAGTTTGAAATTGATGAAAAACAGAATAAGCATAAGATTTTACAACAAGTGGATAATACCATATATATTTTGTATGTGCATCAACAAAGATAACAAAATAACGATAACCATCTGAAGAAAAAAAAGGGGCAGGGCCCCACACGGATGATTAATTTAAGCGGAGTAGAAGTTTTGTGACTAGTAGTAGGTCTTAAAAATAAACACGATGATTTTTCTAAGGGATAACTTTGACATTGAAAATTAAGACGTTTAGTATTACAAATAATGTTATTTTTTGAGACTAAAAATTGAAAAATATAAGAGGTAGGATGACCTAGGCAGAAATGCAGGGAGACCAATAGGCTTGAGGAACTGACAGGATAAAAGACCTGAACCTGGACAAAGTATAGAGACTATCTTTACTTTGTCCTGAGAGAAGCACTTCATTGGTGTTGAGATCCTTGACATAAAATAGAAAAAGGTGAAATTCAAAATAAATATTATTATCGAGATAAAATTTCTGAACAGAAAACAGAGGTTTCGTGATTGTTGGAACATGTGGGACATTAAATAAAGTGAACGAACAATGTGGGGTATAAAGTTTTGTATGGTGAATATGAGATATGGGAAGTCCCTTACCATCATCACCAATATACAAATTATCATTATCATTGTATGGTTCTGAAGCAGTTAAGGTTGCAAGGTTAGGTGTGACGTGTTAATTTGCATCTGTGTCCGAAAACCATTCAACAGTACCTACAGGATTATGCAGTGCCAGATTGGCACTATACTGCTGACCATAACCATGTTGCTGAAGCTGTGAGAGCACTGAGGAGTAGTATGTCTAAGGCTTGAAATAACTGGCAACGGAAATTAGAGCTCCTATTGTGCTGCCAATTTCCTTGCCAGTTGCTATGTCTGTTGTCGTTGCCGGGAGTGCTGTGGAAGTTGTGGTTGGGAGTGCTGTGGAAGATGTGAAAGTTAGGCTTGGAACTAGAATTATGGGGCCCTCTGTGATTGAACTGTTGAGGACACCAGCTACCATTAAAACATCCTCTATTGTGACCAAACTGAGCAATAGGCTGATGGTGAGAGAGAAGTGTTGAAGGAGGGATGTTCGGCGTGGGCAACAAGGGTGCATGAATTACAGCAGACCCCATAGATGAATGAGAGGATTTATAAATAAATTCATGAGTTAACAGATGACTAAGCAAATCTGCATATGGTAGAGGATTTGTCCTTGTAACAAGACTTGTCATGAAGTCCTTAAATTCTCCTTGAAGGCCATAAAATACATATAAGTTGAAATCCGCTAGTGAAATAGGCCGGCCAGCAGCTGCTAGCTCATCAAATAAAGCCTTAGCTTTTGCAGAAATTGAGTTACCGATTCATCATCTTATCAAAGGTCTTGAAGAGAGCCATGAAGTTGTATAATACGAGAATTAGATGTAAAAGCTAGAGCTTTCTCAAGTGTGTGCCAAACAGAGCATGAGGTTAGACAATCAATAACAAGATAAAGAACTTCCATAGATAGCAAAGAGAGCAGGGCATTTAGAATGAGTTTGTCCTACTGTTTGTAATGAAGAAAGTGTTGAGATACCTGAAGAGAGACACCATCGACAACAAGAATGTGTGGAGAGGGGCACGAGTTTGAACCATCAATAAAACCAGAAACTCCTTGGCCTAGAAGATATGATTTCATTTGCATTTGCTAGTACAGATAATTGGTGTTTGTCAGTTTCAGAGAGATGACCTGATGAGTGTTTGAGAGGGATACAATTTCCACAGCAGAAGCTGTAGTGGCTTTAGCACAAGAGGACGACAACAAAGGAGCATTATTGGGGTTGAGTAGAGCATAGCCAACATCTGTAGGCTATAGCCACTGCAAAGTTGAAGCTGAAGAAGAAGGTGGTGCTGTGGTAGGAGAGAAGGATGACAACTCTAGTGCAGCTCTAGTGCTGCTGCAGAGGGAGAGATGGTTGCCGGCTGGAAGGGATCCATTGCAGAAAGGAGAAGATGTGTTTTAATTTATTTAAGGCTCTGATACCAAGTTGAGAATAACATAATAGCTTAGGTTGACCTTAGCTAACATTTCCTATTTATATATGTAGGGTAGAACATGACAATAACCATAGAAATTACAACATTGGAATAATCCTCCATTAATTTTCTATTCAAAGATATACATGTTATACATTCTATAATAAGAAAAAAAATAAATAAAAAAGTCAGTAGCTGACAAACCTTCTAGAATGAAGTCACATGTGTTGTATAAAAAGGTAATCCTTGCCATTATGAATTAGAAGACACTTAAAAAGCTGATCTTACTTGTCGTGAGCCATCACATGCACTAGTTGAAAATCATGAAATGGTGCACTTGGTGGCATATTCCATGGCCACACTATCAACTTTTT